TGAGGTGCCCAATCGTACCAAATTTTCCACCCACTGCTCCACCCACTGGTCCATCAGCATCAGTGCAGTGATGACTTCAGCAACATGAAGAGCACCACAGTACAGCAATCTAATGATGCAACAGGTAAAACGTCTGCTGCAGTGAGCATGTGCCAATGTAAAAAGTATATGATGTAAAAAATATTACAATACTGATCTAATCTTTTATAATAGTTTATGATATTATCACAAAATTGTATTAAGAAAAAAAAACAATGTATGTACAATACTGTAACTGTTACTAAAGGGCAGCATAAACCTATGTGAACTTTTACAGAGGCTTATTCGAGCGCTAGTTGTCATAAAGGCTGCTTTTGAGGTCATTTCACCTCAGCAGGTATTGCAACTGGCGCTTGTTAGAATAAGTGTTTATAAAAGTTAACATAAGTTTATGTCAGTTGTCTTGAAAGGCTTATGTAGTTGTCTTGTAGCCTTATGAACGCTGCCCTTCAGTAAAATGTTACAGATAATACATGTACATACCTGTAATGTTCTGAATGTCATTTTTAATAGCAATAATGTGTTGGCAGTTACACATTTTAGGGACATCTAAATGCAGTTATGTATTTTAAGGTGTACACCATAAAACTGCATGTGCTGAATATCACAACACACCTTTTATTGAATACTGGCACATGTCCACTCAGCAGAAAAGTGAATTTAATGTTTCTTTGTATAATTTATCCAAAGAACACCAACGAAATGTCAGTTTTTCTCTCTCTGATAATCAAATTCAAAACACACTCATATTGACGACACTTTACAGTACATAACCCTGACATCATAAGGTACGGCCACTTTCTTAACTGGTCCTTAATTGTTAGGTCTGCATGGGTAGAAGTACACTCAACCGTTCCAAACATTATAAAAAACACTGTTTGGATATTTGTCACACTGCATAACAAAGGAGAAAAATGTGGTATCAAAAAAGAAAAGTGTTTGTTGTACGTTCAGTATTACAAGTCATTATTTCACCACATCACTTTTATCAAATACAAACATGCACCACCAACTTAAGGACAGTTTAATCGCCATAGATTTTTTCCATATGTCGTAGATGATACATGAAGTAGACATTATGCAAAAGAAAGAATGTTGATCTTGGTACCTTTGCTACAACAAATCTAATTATTTATATTTCTTCCCTATATGCTCCAAAAGTAGTAATGGGTGGTATAGTAGTTAAAATTCTTCCTTCGGTATGAGTTCTCATAACCTCTACACTGACATGTTACAAGCAAACAGACAACACAAACTACAGATATATTATTTACCAAATTCAAGCAGAAACTGACGTTCGTAGATTTAAGCACAATGAGATGCACAAATAAGAAAAATGATTTGAGAAATTCAGACATGAAACAATAATTACCACCACTTTTGCAAAGCATGTGTCTGTTTTTCTATTACAAACCTAATTCCAAAAATGTTGGGACAGTAGAATAGAATAATGAAAATAAAAACAGAAAGCAGTGATTCATAAATCAACTTCGATCTGTATTTAAAACAGTACAAAAATAAGATATTTAATCTTTTACATATTAACTTCATTATTCTTGTAAATATATGCTCATTCTGAAATTGATGCCTGCCACATGTTCCAAAAAAAGGCTGAGATAGGAATGCTGTGAAATGTTAAAAAACATCTTGAACAGGTGATGCAATCATGCCATGGTATATAAAGGAGCACCCAGGAAAGACCTCGTCCTTTATGAGCAAGGATTGGTCAAGGTTCCTCACTTTGCCAAAAATGCATTAGGAAAAATCCAACAATTTAAAAATAAATGTTCCTCAGCCAGAGATTATTAGGATTTTTGGATTTCACCCTCTACAGTGTATAATGACATCAAACATTAAAAACCAAAATGCTTCTGTGATGGATATCACCACATGGGCTCTGAAATCCTTTGACATACCCTTGGTCATTAAACACTATTTGCCAATGCATCCAGAAATGCAAGTTAAGACTGTACTTTGCACAGTCGAAGTCATATATTAACAGCATCCAGAAACACTGCTGATTTCTCTGGGCTTGAGCTCATCTGAAATGGACTGATGTGATGAAGTTGAAATGTGTATTGCGGACATTACTGACAAGTCAACCTTTCAGATGCTTATTTCAACATGACAACATTAAAACCACATTCTGCATTTAACAACAATATGGCTGCATTATCTGAGGTTGCTGGTGCTAGACTACCTGCCAGCAGTCCAGAAGTGTCTCCCATTGAAAACATGTTGCGCATTATTAAGCTCAAAATACGTCAAGGACAGCCCTGTCCGGCTGCACAGATGAAGATTTGTATAAAAAAAGAAATGCAAAAAACTCCACTTTCAAAACTGAATCAGTTTGTGTTAAATGGTAAGACTTAAAACACTGTGTTTTAATACTGTTTAATACAGGTTATGCCAGGCGGCCGGGAGAGTCAGCAGGTAGGCAGAACCTAAAGGCCGAGAGCAGACGACAACCTGCAATAGCAGTGGGTGGACCGATGATAACCGCAAGGGCTTGGTGGATGGTGCCCAAGTCCTGAGCCCAGCCTCCTGGGCACTGCCTCCGGTCCTGCAACAAGGCCACTTTACTATGCCTCATGTTCAATCCCAACGGCCAAGCTGTGGAGAGGGGGCAACGAGCAATGAGCTCTCTTTGCTTCTTGGTTCAGGTGCTTGTGTTACCTTAATGAGAGCTAGCTGACCCTGGTTAGGCTTTGGCAGTGTGGGCACATTCAAAAAGAGCAGAGAGGGGACAGAGAGGGAGGAGAGGGACGAGCAGCAGCATAAAGGTGTGAGCTGAAAGCTTGCACATGAGAAAAAGAGACTGTAAAGCATGGAGAGGTGGCCAGTTATTTAAATGTATGTGTTTTGAGAGTAAAATAAAGTTTAAATGCTTGCTGCAAACGTCCCTCCTGCCTCAAGCGTCCTTCCTTTACCTGAGGTAGCACAGGCCATGCTATACAGGTGAAACAATATTTGCTAATCACTGCTTTCTGTTTTTATTAGCATTTCATGTACTGTACCAATGTTTTTGGAATTGGATTCATAAGATGCCCTCAATATAACCAGTCAATAAACAAACAGCCAGCACAACTGATGTGTTTCTCCTTGTATGTACTCCATTTATATACATGTTGTGTATTTTTTTTTTTTTACTGAGGCCATGGAATGATTTCCCATTATCTGCCATTAATAAACAAACCAAATGAGCTTTTAAAACAGCATCAGTCAAAAAGGCCCTCATTAAGGTGTGGACATTAATGGCTGTTGGACCCAGTGACCACTTCAGATTAAAACATCCTCTTTACTGGAAAACAAATCCAGAAACCCAGCCATCAGTAGCCTTAACGAACCAAACCTCGTTAACACTCATTAGCATAAGGCCAGGGACTATGCTGATTGATTTTAGAATGTGCCTGTGGGCCTAATGAAAGGAACCAAAATACGCCTGGCTTCCTATCTCTGACACAAAGACAATAATCTAATAATGAAATCTAATGAAAAACAGCCTAATGGGGAGACAATTCCCACAGGAAAAACCCCACTGCTCCTAGAACACAGAAAACAGCAGCACATATTACAACAGACAATTGACCCGTGAAAGCATACACACAATAACCACTCACTCATGGACACCACACAACATACCAGTTCTGCAAAGCTGTCTGGAAAAATGGTATATTTAACTGGTTGTGTTGTCTGCATTTTACTACATATGACTCTTAACCCTACCACACACTGGACAGCGGTTTCCAGTTATGCTTAATGTCTCTGAGCAAAACTCAGCATCCAAAATCAGACCACAAACAGCCATCGTAGGCGAGGTGGTTCAAAAGTCACAGAGAAAGGCAGTCGATTTAAAGCTGCAGTATGTAAGATTTGAGAATTTTCCTCTCTGGAAGAAATGTGTAATTGCATGTAACGTGTGGAAGAATATTTTGTAATGTCAGCTGTACTTCGGACCCCTTCCCCAAGTGGATGAATCTGGTGATTGTTGAGAATTTAAAGAAGGATGTGTATTCTGAGGATATAAGTGAATTCATCAAATGATTTTGAATTTCACATCTAAACACTGAGCAGATCTTCTTTTGGAGCCCGTGTGTCACCTTGAAGTCTAGTCCAACACCTCTGACTTTTAAATGATTATTTCAGGTTTTATAGGGTGATTTGTGGAGTGCACAAACATCATATTTTCACGTATTTTTTTTTTTATCTCCGGATGCAGTAACACCATTTCTATGAACTATTTCTATGATTTCTATGAAAATCATGGCGTACCTTTATAACGTTTTTGAAATGTTCAAAAGAAAAAATCTTTGGAAAATCCAAAACACATTATGGACCACTGTCAAGAGCTAAAATATCAGTGCTATGCTATATCAGTGGTATTATGATTAATACCACCTTTACTAGATAAATAAAAATGTGTTTTCTCTTATATATCAGCTGTTTTTATAAAACCTATTATATCCAAAATTATTAGAAATTAATATACAGCATTTTGGAATGAAACTCTTCAAATGCTGATTGTCTGTTACCTCAGATATCCTTTTAGTTCAAAAATAGATACCAAGCGTAATAAATTCATTATATTATGAAGGTTTCATTCAATGGATGTTAAGATGTGAAGTGAGGAGTAAAATGAGCTACATTTGTACTATCTGCTGCATAGAGCAGGCTTTCTGGTGTAGTGTGTGGTAGCCTTTAGACAGCTGCAGTAATCTTTTTGTGTTTCCTTCATTGGTTCAGACAGCTCATTGTTTTTAAATATGACAACATAGAACATAAGAGAAAAACTGATTTGTTTATTGAAAAATTATTAATTTACTATTTGATTGTTTTAACTTTACATGACTATTTGAACATTTCAAATATACGACTCATCTCTAATTAGTCCTCGGAGAAGCGCAGTATTTATGTTTGTGTTTGTGCTCGTGCCTTTGTGTCTGAAATCTCTAGTAATCTACCTTGAGGAGCTCCTTCGGGAAATCATGGCCGCTGTTCAGTCCCTCCAGATTGCCAATGAACTGAATGCAGGACATCCGCTTTCCAACGTTCTGTCAACAGAAACCAGAGTCACGGGCGCTGTTAGGAACACTACAGAGATGTGACAGTTTGAACACTTCCTTTTATAATTATCACTGACAAAATGGTCAAGGATTTCAGGTACATTTGCGAGACTGTTAAAATATATTGAAAATGTACTACACTTAAAGGAACAGTTCAGTAAATTACAGTTTTTAATGCAGATTTGTTGCTGTGGTTTTGGAGACAGTATTTACTGCAGCTACTACAAACCATAAAAATGAAACTTCACCGTGTAGTTGAACGCAGCTAAACACTGCATGTAGCCACTTTAGACAACATATGTTGTGCCAAATTCTCCCTTGCAGAATCTGACTCCACGTCACACAGGCATATGTACACTGGATAACATTCATTATTTCTGCTGTTTCTATTTTTTAAACATATATCTTCAGTTGAAAATTTAAGATTGACAGTTACTTATAAATAGAAAATACAACAGAAAACAATACAATAACAACAGAAAATGCTAGAATAATCTGAAGTGTGCATGTATGCAGATGGGAGTCGGAGTCAGAATTCAGCACAACGCCTGTTGTCTAAAGTGGCTGCAAGCAGCATTCAGCTACATGGTGAAGTTTTGTTCATTTTTATTGTTCTGTAATAGTCTCAGTAAAAAGACAAGGCCTGTTGTCTAATGTGGCTGGCTGCAAAGTTCAGCTAAACAACTTACTTTTGTGCATTTTTATGGTTCACAGCAACTCATACTGTGTCCTAAACCACACTGACAGGTCAGCACCACCTTGATGAAGAGCTGGAGGCTGTTTTAGCAGATTTAGAGAAGTTTTGAGTATGTATTTACAGGAAAGATTTGGGTGCCTATTGACTTCTAGTGTTAGCCTTGTTAGGCTTATAACTCCATTGTTAAAGAAGTAAAACCATACAGCACAGATCAAATACATCTGAAGTAAATGGAAAATTGTGTAAATTAGATTTTTTTGCCAAAACTTTCCTGCAAAAAAAGTTCTTATTATATGCAATCTTTTGAACACCCCCGGTCAAATTAAATGTTTTGTTGATTTTCTACATGAAAGTAAGTGAAAACATCCTCTAGAGGGAATAAAATATTCCTTTTTTTGCTCATTTCCATGCACAATTTCTATTTTTTTTTCCTGAGTTCAACTTATTGAGGGAAAAAAAACTTAAAACATAAAACTTGTGCAAATGCCATAGTTTATTAATTAATTAATTAATTAATTTCAATTAGTTAAAATCAGCAAATAAACAAAAATCATGCATTAAAATGTGCAGAAGTGTGTTCTCTGTAGAGGATGTGTTCACTTATTTTCACTAAGAAAATCAACAAAACATACTTTAAACACAGGCGCCCCAACCTTTGCATGTGACTGTATATCAATACATTAACATGTATAATACAAAAAAATCAATTACATAAACATGCATTCCTGGTGTGTGCACTGCAGGGAGACTGTAGTATCAGGATATTTACATATGCCTTAACTTTTAAAAATACAGGAATCATGCATGGCCATCGGGATTATTCAAACATGAAATGGTATGATCATCACTGGGTTTTATACTGTGGTATGCCATTGAAACTGGTTATCTCTTCTACTGTTACTGGCCTGTTGAGTAACTGACTATGAGTCTGCCTTGCAAAAGAAATTATCCAGATCATGAATCCCAAATGAAACAGAATAGATGACATAAAGCAATGCCTGAAGAAGTCTTTTCGTTCACAGAGTGAGCAAAAAGGGCATAAAATGGACATGCTGGATGTATAATGTCATGTCATTAGTAGGAAACTATAATGCAGGTTTAAAGCTGGTATTTATAGAGAGGGACTTTGATTGGGTCGATTGGAGCAGAGGATGCTCTCTGATCCGCACAGACAGCAGCGAACCATTTTAACAAATTAATTCCAGCACTTCACAGCACAGGAACTCAGCAGGGAACGTACCTCATGAATCTGTGTGAGTGTGTATGTGTGTGTGTGTAGGTGAGAGAGGGAGAGAAAGATGAGAGGAAGAGGGCAAGAATAAAGAAATAATGAACACCAAGGTTGAATCTTAATATATGACCCACTTTTGTCCAACACAGCACTGAGATATTACAAACCATTAAACACAAAATTGATAAAGCATGTTAATGTATTTCCTTCACAAAGATACATGTGGCGAAAACTACTGTTTTGCTGACAACTTAGAAAAATTTTAATATAACCCCCCCCCACTTCCCCTTACTCCCCCCACCTGGCCATGCAGATCCGTGTTGAGCAGCATCAGAGCGCAAGTCAGCGTGTGGATACTGTCTGTGAGAAGAGAGTGAAGCATAAGCATAAAAATGTCTGAATACTCTATAACACAAATACATTACTGCTACTGCGATACAGCAAACTCATGCTGACACCGACTGGACTTCATATCATACATTCCACTTGGCAGGCCAATAGAAAATGAATAAGGTGATTAAACAGTTGGATCAGCAATTGGATTACTCATTTCATAAAAATGAAACATATGAGGCCATGATGGGCAAATTTTCTCATTTGGTAATTGATTGCTACAATCAGGAAAACTGCAGCAGTGCACACATAAAGGTGTAATGCAGTGGTTCTCAACTCCCCAGATCCCTCCTCATTTTCGGTCCATCCTAGCTCCTGAACCATTAGGTGCACTTAATACCTGGGGCCTGTCGCACAGAGCATGTTCATATTAGACAGTGTTCAGTTTCACAAAACCTAACAAATGCAAGCGCGGTTAACCCGTTTTAAGACAGTGCTATGTCGCTTTTTTCAAAGGAGAAAAAAGAACTTAACCTGTGTAAATATGCAGAAAGTAAAGTATTTATTACAATAAAAACAATGCTGTGGCAACTGAGTGCTTAGTAGAGTAGTAATTGGTTTATATTCTTATATTCTTGATAGCTTGATATGGCCAAAAGTATGTGGACACAATTACACAATTAGCACTAATTACTGAGTTCAGGCATACAGCCATACAATCTCCATAGAAAAACACTGGCAGTAGAATGGGTTTTACTTAAGAGCTCAGTGAGTTTAAACATGGCACTGTCATGGGATGCCACCTTTGACATGTTAGTTCATGAAGTTTCCACCCTGGTGGATCTGCCCCACTCAAATGTAAGTGCTATTATTGTAAAATGGAAGCATCTAGGAGCAACAACAACTCCACGCAAACTTACAGAGGGCAGCCACTGAGAGCTGAAGCGCATAGCATGTAAAAATTGCCTATCCTTGTTATACTACAGAGTTTCAAACTACCTTTAAAAGCAACATCCATACAAAAACTGTGTGTCAAGAGCTTCATTAGATGAGTTTTCATGGCCGAGCACCTGCACACAAGCCTAAAATCAGTGTGCACAATGCCAAGCAACAGTGGTGTAAAGCACGCTGCCATTGGACTCTGAAGCAGAGTCTGCTATTGGCAGATGCCAATGTTTGCCGGAGGAGGAATAACGGTCTGGGGCTGTTTTTCAGGGTTTGGGCCTCTTAGTTTAATGGAAGGGTAATGCTTTCAACTTTGTGGCAACAGTTTGGGGAAGGCCCTTACCTGTTCCAGCCCGACTGTGCACCCTGCACAAAGTGAGGTCAATAAAGAGATGGTTTGACATGTTTGGTGTGGAAAAACTAAAGCAGCCTACAGAGAGCCCTAACCTAAATCCCACTCAGCACCTTTGGGATAAACTGGAATATCAATTGTGAGCCAGGTCCCGGTGTCCACACACATTTGGTCATATAGTGTATGTAGTATGATTTGTTTCCTCTGCTGAAAAGTGACATCTTTCAAATGATGAAACAGACCAGACGGGTCTATCTCTGTCAAGAGGTTGTCCCTGATTGGTCAGAAGTTCCATCTTGATTGGTCATGTAGCATAAGTTTCCAAGTACTTCACTGTGATGTAGTGAACCACTGCTATGAGACAAAACATCCAGGGCTAGTTGAACTAAGCGTGAAGTTAGCTGGATAACCAAGAAATCCTGTTTTGTGAGGCCCTGGTAGAGTTGTGCTATTTAGCTTAGAGCAGACATGTGGATTGCCTGGGTGCCCCTGAAGCCTTTTTAAGAACCTCTTTGTAAAGTTTTAGCACTACTTCTCTTTCAGTCACACTTACCTTCAGACAGCATGAGCATAGGGTTGCACTGCAGGTATCGTCGGGAAAAATGAGCTAGCACTCGCTCTCTTTCCTGAGTTTCTCCCATCAGGGCAAATTCCAGCAAGAAGGTCCTAAAATCAACAAACAGCAATACAACTGACAAACACAGCTACACAACCCTAAACAAAACGTCTCCAACATGCCTTCAACTCAGGGTTGGACACTACAGTACTGTTTCAACAACTTCTGAACCTGAAATATATTAAACAATTCTAGACTTTAGCATCACAAAAATTCAAAATGCCTTGAATCTGTGGCAATGTTTATGCCAAATACACTGTGCTTTGAATAAACATGACCAGCAGAGGGCGTAAAAACTTGCAGTGCATGGCAGCGTTGCAAATACCCGGTATGGTGAAGATATTGAAAAAAAGCCAAACCCCTAAAAATTGCACCCTTCAAAACTCTTATGAAAAAATACAGTTAACATATACTGTAATCTAGTCTACTTTTTAAAAGCACCTCTGAGTATTTAGGAATTAAATGGTAGTTCATGACTTCTGTATTAATATATAGGTGACATGTAAGCCAATTATCCATCAACATAGAGAAGGTTGGAAATGAGACAAATTCAATAAGTCAACAGGTTGCCAACCTTTGCCTGATTTATGAAGGTTCCTGAAAATACCCATCTCCACTATTATGGCAATAAGTAAGAAAATTTAACAGGAGCTACAACTGTGTTTTGCTCTCACATACAGCGGGGTGGTTTAAGAAGAAAAACTTTCTTCAATAATCACAGATGGACAACTGCAGGAGTTGGCTGCCTTTAGGAGTCACCAAGTCTCCAGAAATACAGTCAGGCATCACCTCTGTGCCAACACATTATTTAAAAGGCTTGCCAGAATAAAGTCTCTGCTGTTATCAAATGACAAACATAAGCATGTAGAGGTCGTTAAACATCACAATGGCTCTGAAATTTGAACCAGTGTCTATATGACACAAAAATAGAGCTTCTGGGCAACAAAGAGGTGGGTTTTGTGTAAACAGAGTCAAGGTCATGCAGAAAGGAATAATTCTCCGTTAAGTATGGTGATGGAAGTGTAATGCTTTGGGGATGATTTAAACCCAAACTTGATCTTTATAAGAGATATGGCATCAAACACCTTTAAATATCAGATCACTGTAAGGAAGCTAAAGCGAAATGTTTTGTTTATTTGGTTAGATCTTTCATTTGATGGCTGGATCTTCTAGCAGGTCAATGATCTAAAGCCTCAAATATCCTACAGAAAATGGTTCACTGACAACAGAATGAAGCTTCTGCAGTGGCCATTTCAATTCCCTGATCAAAACCATGAACGCTCTCCAAGTAAGGAACAATCACTCAGAAGTGGCTTGAGATTTTCTGGAGGTTATCCTAATCCGGCTGAGTGCTGTTATCATGGCAAAGAGGTTACCCAAATGGAGTGCTGCCAAAACATTGTGGCTTTCGTATTTTATTTTCAGAAAAATGTTTTATTTTGCTGTCCGTATTTCTACTTTTTTGGGGGGGAGAATAATTTTACATCTCTCTCATTATTTACTGTAACTGTGAACTGATAGATAACAAACATTTTTCATCCTTACTAGGGGTGCTAGTAATTATGGAGGGCAGTGTTTTTTTTAACAAAAAACTTTATATGGAGTTTATAATTTCTGAATTTACACATGGCAAACAGATTAAGCACTTGTACTCATCATTTGTCTTCTTAAACCAATAAAAAAAAAGCACACTAACCTTAGCGCTTGGTCCAAAGTCTGTCCCGTAAAATTAAAGTAACCCAGGTACTCTTCAGCCACCATGCGACTGAAGTCATTGCTAGAACAAAAAAAGAAAGAAATCAAAAAGTTACAGTGAACAAAAATATGAACCGAAGAGAAAGAGAGACAAAGAAAGAGTTAGAGAGCATCAGCAAATGACAGATACGTCAGTTTAAGCTTTTCCAGAACAGTTGATAGGGGGTGAAGGAGGTTTGCTGTTCCCATGGTGCATCTGTCAGGGAGGAGAAAGCTCTTAAACTCTGAACACACAAAGGCACAGCACCACTGCCTGTCTCAACAACTGATCCATGCCAGCCAGCGGGGACGCAGACACGCAGAATGGCCCAGATATGACAGAAAGAGTCTGGAGACAAACAGAGGCCTGCAGTCAAATTTATCAAACTGCTCAGTAAGAGTGCTGATCTATGCTCAGATACGGCCTTTCAAATCCCAAATGAACATGATATACAGACATAATAAAATCTATAAAAGATGGAAATGGCGAAAAGCAACACCACCTACCAGGTCTACAGATCTAACACAGGAAATCTGCACTGAAAAGTTCATTTTTGTTAACCAGATTAAACATTAATTATTGTAATCCATATTTTATGACAAAAAACCCTCCAGACTACTAAATATTTCATTTCAACTGAAATCTTCTAAGACAATATCACAGGTGTGATGAAAGACAATAAAGTGCTAAAGCACTGGCTGATTAGAAGACATTCCTCACTCACTTCTTGCTTAAGTGACGTGCAACGTCACACTTCTTGAAGCCGTCAAGGTTGAAGAGCCGCTTGGCTAATCGCTTAGCAGCCTCCAGGTCAGCACGGTTACCGTTGGTCAGCGTGTCACTGCTCCCTAATCCCAAACGCTCACTCAGCTCTTGATCCAGGTCCACATCTGTGGCCAGCCTTGAAGACTTCTCCCTGCACATATTCAAAATATGGCAAAATATGAGGGACCTGAACCTAATTTCAACCAATCAGGGATAAAGAGAAAAGTTTTAATAAATTATAAAGACATACAACAATTTCTTTAACATAAATCTATGTTCCGTGGGTAGAAAAAAAGCACTTCATACATGTTTTTCTACAGATTTTACTGTGAGGACACTTGCACTGGATCGTTTGCTAACATTCGCACTAGAGTTCACAATCATGAATCCTGTGCCCAGTGGCGTACTGCTGGAGTTTTGGCTGTACTTGGAGGGGTATTGGCTGTCAAATGTGTCTTGGAAAGATGGATGCATTTACACTGCCATGACATGTGGCTCAAATGCACCTCAGACCACCTCCTGAAGTGGTTTAATTGATCAGATTTGTATTTGTTTTAAATGCATCTTGCATTTTCATGTGGCTTTCCCTTATTCAGATATAATCCTGATACTTTGCATGAAGTGACCAGATATAAACGGGGTCTATGTGTTGGCCCAATCATCGGGAGAATGCAAGTTGGATTCCCGGTGATGCCACAGCCATCCATTACCCGCGAGTCAAAGAGAGCATAACTAGCTCCCCCTCTCTCGTGATTCGTTAGTCAGCACGGGCATCTGTTAGCTAACATAACAGAATTGGCAGTTAGTGTGCTCCTGAGCTGTCCAATGATGTTGCATTAGTAGCAGTTTGAAAACGCAGTAGTGCTTCACATGACTCGGAGGAGGCACATGCTTGGCTTCACCCTTTTAGCACTAGAAGTCTCCTATCATAGGAAGACCTAGCTGACAGGTGGACATGAAAAATGACTAATGACTAAATTGAAAAGAGCTGTCACCGTCAGTGAAGTAAGCCATTTATTCTCTTATGCTTCAAACCATGGAGGAAAATTCTAAACAAACCCATCAGATATAGCAAAAACCTTAGAGCTGAATCCAGAAACTTTTCCTACTTTTCTCCGATCCTGGAAGAATGCAGAACAATCAAGGAGAGGAAATGAGCAGGAGGAAGGGAGACAATGAGCAGAAGCTGGGGAAATGGGACAGCTGATTCCTTACAATATCATTAAATCTGATGTTGACTATTTATGAACTGAGCCTGTACTCAATCGCAACTGCTACACAGAGCCAGACGGTTTCCATGTTTTACACCAAGTAAAAATTACACATCACAGACAATATATAAACACCAACAAAACACAGATTTGAAGAAGTACAGTTGGATTCCTCTGTGTTGTCCGTCTTCTCTGGATGTGCATGCTATGAGGTCACTGTATAATCTGCACGTCTTCTTGGGTAGCATACACATACGCATACACCTCCAGTATTCGGATAGCTGGTAAGATGAAGTCACAAAATCAGCTGTCAGGTCACAGAGGAAAGGGGGAATTTCAGCAGGAAAAAGCAGTAACTTTCAGGGTTTCTAGATGCAGCCCATGTGTGGCCACATGTATTGCTCAACAGTTCTGGCTTTGACAATACTTGACATTTGTCAGACTTTGATCAAAAGGTCATGGTCTATGGTATATAGAAATGGGAATGAGCAGGGATATAGTGTCAAAGCCATTTCAGTCTGCAGAACACATTCAGTTTAAACATACAGCTGTAACATGCGTTACATTTTCAAACATATCAGAACTAATCATCCAACATCAGCACCTGCTCTTGTGCCTGAATGTAATCAAATCCTCACAGCAGTGTTCCAACATCTAGTATAAAGCAGAGGGTACTATCTCCCTATTAATATTCTTGATTTCAGAAGAACTATTGGCCATATATTGTATATAATAATCACAAACATCAGCCTACTATACTTGTTCTTAAAATATCAGGGTTGCACATCTCTAGAGTACTGTAGGATTTGGATTGTTCTAAGACAGTCAAGTATCACTTTAAAACCCTCATTCTGGCAGCCACAATGATCTGAACACTCTAGTGCTTTTGGGAAACTCACTTCAGGGCATTAGTGAGCACTGGTTAAATTTAGCCACTTTATCAGTGACTCACACCTTAAATCCACGGACAAAAACAAACAGTAACACAAAAAGCTGACTCAAAAAAGGGAGTCAGAACAGGAAGCAGAACGGTTTCTAAAGCCTCTAAAGGTAGCGGACAAACAGGTTCCGGAAAATATTTCTATTACAGACAAGCAAGAGCAAAGCAACACTTGACATGTGAAGGGTGAGCTAGCACTGTGAGGCTTTTTCACTTCTCAAGAGAAAGTGGGGTCAGTTTTTGAATAATTTAATGCAGAGGTCACTTATCTTCTCCACAAAGGGGCAGTATGGCTCTGAGGTTTCATTCCAACTAAGTAGGAGCTCATATAACATACAAGTTTTTTGAAGACTGATCAACTGATTAAAAAGGTAGAATCAGCTGTGCTTCTATCTGACCAGAATGAAAAGCTGTAGCCACGCCGGCCCTTTGTGGATGAGTGATGGATTTCTGTGCTATAAAATATTACATAACATGACAAATTACATATTAAAACCCAAGTTTTTGGCCAGAATGCTCGTTATGTTCCCACTATCCATATCCATCATAAGGATTCCATTGTCATCACTGCAAAAAATGGTATCTAGGCAAGTGGAAGCATCTTAAATTTAATCAATATCTCTAATTTTTCTCATTATAAGATTGTTGTAAAACATATGATCATTTAACTTCTTCGTCTGTGTTTTTACTATTAGATATATTGACTAGAATTAGGATAATTTCATGTCAACATATCATTTTATACAGTGAGGGAGAAATATATGCGTTATACAACGCTTTGAAATGTCTGACGACAGAAATGTCAGTGTTTCATAACAGTTTACAACTCGACAAAACATTTATTCCTGTTTGACTTCAGCAGACAAACTGACAATACTGGAAATGTCAAACAACTTTTTTTTTTTTTAAACTCAATAAAACAAAACATAAGTGACAGCAGTCTTGTTACTAAGTAAATGAATTACTGTTGCGAGTCAATATGAAGGATTTTTCTTTTGCTTTTGCAAAAACTTATGTTAAAAAATTATGTTATTGTTTGCAAATTGCGTAAGTAAAGTAAGGAAACCCAGCCACTCTCTAGGATATTTTTTATAACTTTCCTCACTAACTACATTGACGAATCTTACCTGCATCCTGAATGCCGGCGTGCTGGGACGTACCTATCCTCTGACCCTCCAGAGTGCCAACAGAAAAATGACTGGGCCTTTTTATTCTGGCCCTCCCTGCTAACCCAACTGACGGACCTGGCTCTGATGACCCCTCCACTTCGGGACCCTGTGACCCTCTGACTCTGCCTCTTGCTCATTTCAGCAGTCCTGTTCTGCTCTTTGCCTGTCCTGATCCTGCAGTCACATGGAGGGTAGTGGTGGTCGTTACATTCTCTCATCTCTCGTTCATTTTCTGCCTCTGGTCTTTTCCTTAAAGTGAAAATACATGCGTGTTCCTGAAGTGCCAGCCTGCTCTGTATCCCTCACCACCACCCTCTTCCATCTCTCTCCCCATTACTCACTGTTTGTTCTGGAACTTGGCTGTTCTTTCGTTTCCACTGAGCTGTTATGCCGCCCTCCCCTCCCTCTCTGTAAACTTCTCCAATGACCTTCCACACAATCAGGCATGAATGGGGCAGAAAAATGGCCTTAATCCCAGTATCTCTCAGTGGTTGACTCTGCTAAGACCTATTCCATTTAAATTGTTTGCCTTTCATTAATTTAAGGAGTTTGTTTTGTTCATTGTGGCATCACACCTACCGGACACCTCCAATACAGGATATCTTCAAGTATCTCTCTAACTGGGAGGTAAAAGTCAATAACAATATAAAATTACCCTAAGATTTTACTGTCACAGGTACTGGTGAATCACAAATAGACTCCTTGCGAACACAGAACAGCAAACTGCCTGTGTTTGCCACAGAAAATTGTGACATTGTGAAAGACCATGCTCATGAAAAAAAACTGACTGCAGGAAAGAACGTCTATATCATTACTATTATTACTAGTGGTGGTAGTAATGGTAGAACCATTAGTTTCCAGTTGATTAACTTACTTCTTGATATATAGTGGAAAATACAATGTAAAGTTGCCCAACCCTACTTTCTTTTCAGCTACCGGCCTCTCTTTACCTTATTGATGCTTGATTCAGTGGATATTATCCATGCGGTTGACTAAGTATTGCAAAAAAACACATTTGGATTGACAGTTGGGGTGTGCCATATTCAACAAAGGACTAGTACAGCACTGTTGCGTAAAGGCTTTTCTTGCTTCACCACAATCACACTTGCCCAGTGACGATCAACTGTATCCTATCTTCATCAAAAGTATATTTATGGCCACACAAAACCACTTCCTCAAACCTCTTCCTTCAATTACCAGACCCCTAAATCTGAAAGCCAGAATCAACAAGCTAAACTTTTACACTATTCTCACATGAAAACAAGCACCTGACAGCAGGAAACAACAGTATACTTTGAGTGCGCAAACCAGGACAACAAGAGATGAAAAATGAGACAAGGGTGGAGAAAGATGGGCAGGGGCACTGACAGAGATAAAGAAAGGTGGACACGACTTCCTGCTGTGATGAGAAATTTCTTTTTGGTTGACCTGAATGGGCCTGTCCATTTGTCTCAAAGCTGAAGACAGACCTTGAATTAAACATGGTCTAGCAAACTCAGTGCCACCTGTCACTGGCTTTGGGGATCTGCTTTATCTATGATTTCAGGCAGGCTGAGATCTTTTTGAAGAGAGAACTTGGACTGGAAAGTGAGATGGAGAGATAGAGAGGAAAAAAAAACAAAGAGCACCGAGAGATAACAAAAAAGCAGAAACAAGTCATGCAAGAAAGAAAGAGAGAGTGTGATCAGTAGTAGTTTGGACTCTGAACTGTATTTTTCTGCTGTGGTGGACTTCAACGTCTGGCCCAGTAACTCACACAATAGAGGTACTGTTCCTCTCACGCAAACCAGACAGTGTAGTGTAGTCTCTCTCACCAAATTAGAGCTTTCACTATCGGAAGCCTTTAAAACCACTTCAATTAAAACTTATTTGAAAGTTTCCATTTCATGGAAGACCGAATCCCCCCCAGCAATATAAAAGTGTTTAATGTAAAAAGTGTTACGAGAACCATCACACACACACACACACACACATATATATATATATATATACACATACACACACACACACACACACACACACATACATACACAGATATACAAATACACAAATTTTTCTTTAAGCAGTACAGGGCGGCCAACCAGAGTGGAGGTCATTTGTATATATGAGTTGCAAGGTCACAGTAAGGGATAAAGAGAGATCATGCAAAAGTTAATTATGATCATTTTTGGTACATAAATCGACAAAAAACTGGACCTAAGGGGGGACAGTAAAATATAAGAAAAATGTAGGACATGGGCCGTGTAAAAGAACTGTGACAAAAATGCATATAAATAAGTCTGTGGATCAGGCTTTGTTTCTTACTGTAACAGAAACCATTAGGGGAATTTAAAATATGCTTTATTCTCATGCAAACTACCAAACAGACATTTCCAATTCATCAAGAAGGTAAATCAAATACTTCTTTAAATTGAGTAATTAAGTTTATTAAAGTAAGTGGGACAGCCCTAAAGCAAACAACAACTGAAGACTGGACCACAGTTTTGATACATGGCCTTTGAGTGAATTGATAACCGACCCAAATAAAGAACACAAATAGCCCTTTGAGGCCACCTTGTGGTTCCTCTAAAATATTACAAGTTGTTTGTGATAAACCAGCTGTCAGAGGATTTGAGGAGCTTCAATCCCAGATGAAACTGCAGCCACTGAACTTCAGGAAAAAACATATTCTCATACCGCTATATATAGGAAATCGCCTTTGGACTATATCACAAGTTGCTCTGAGGAAAAGTGTTAGCTAAATGACTACGTAAATGAAAACAGCAGGGCTTGTATCTACATTATTGTCTGATTGAAGTATTTTAATATGCATTGGCAATCAACAGCAGAAACTGCTGCCTTTTTTCAAAATACGCGTAAATGTGTGTGTATATCAACAACTGCTAGTAGTAGTGTAGCTATTTTGACTGTGCATCAGCAAAGCGCAGTGACCTTCAGCTCACATTCACACACACCTGCCTAACTACACACAGCCCCCCCACACCTGTCTGAAGAGGAACAGCCTGCTGCTTCAGTGACCTGACTCCATTCTCAGAAAGGCAAAGTCTTATGTTTAAAGCTGCAGCGTATGCATTACAACTATCACCCGGAGAGTTAGCACCACTTAGCTTGCACTTGACCTCGACCAGTAGTGTTGGAAACACTTCAGAAAAGACTGGTTAACTATCAATTTCCTATCCCATAAGAATACATTAAACTGCAGGTTAACCCTCACAGATAAGGGCCTTGGTTTATAAACTGAATGATAAAATTTTAAGAAACAATAAAAATATAATGCAACGTATACTCTATGCCACCACTCAAGCAAAAGCTGCCAATCGTGTCTCATAATATGAAAATGAGATGGATTTTTTTTTTTTAATGGAAAAAAGCTGGAATTTTTGGGGGATGGAATACGACTTCAGATGACGTTTCTGAGGCTGGAATAGCTCTGTGTAAATACATCAGGTCTACACACTGATCATGAACTGTTATTGCTGGTTACTATTTCTTTACAGCCAAACTGGCCAATGGCTGATAAGTTTGGCCAATTTTAACTAGCCTTTTATTAAAAACCCAAAGCTCACACATGAAACACACTTGTACATTTCTAGTACTTTCTATCAGCTAAACATAAACAGCAATATTTAACACGGGCCAAACTGGCATTTTAAGCTCTTAAAAAAAAAATTGCCTATTTAAGCAACAAATCAAAAAATAAAGTGTGACATCAAGAGTAAGAGGCAACTGAGTATTTAGCACAATGAGTTCTGGATAAACACTACAGATGCACTGATACAGAAACTGTGGGCCAATGCTGATATCCGATATTTTTCAGACACATATCTATTGATGCAGATACCAACACAAACATATAAACATTTATAAAACACAGAAATTGAGACAGCATCAACTTGGATTAGCATTGTGGAGAAACATAAAATATTTGTACCTGTTTATAAATGCAGCAAAATAAATAAAGTGCAGATATTTAAGCACAGAAGCCCAGCATGACCTAAACATTGTGCTCTTCTGCAGTACAGTAATAATATCATCATCTGTCCAAAGCAAATACCTACCAATGCAGACGTGTAACTGATATTATTGTGCACCCCTAATAATTATGAAATTTCGGTAGAGGTTTAGCAGCAGCGTTCAAGTACAGTGTGAATCCACTTACCTGACTCACACAGATTGGCCAAAATCAAAATAATAAATTGTCCGATTGTTGATGTTGGGAGCAAACTGCTGATTCCAATCTTGGCTGGTTTCAATCATGCATCCCTATTTCAAGGCTGCTCTGTAGCTATGCTATTAGGAGTTTAGCAATACACTCGGCCCACAATTTGATCCAGGTTGATGTTCAGTACTGGGTTTACGATGTTATACTCTCACGATATTTTGAACAATATTCAAATGAAGAAAAATGATGACTGTATCCATCTGATTGAGCAACTTACTAATGAACATGCTGGAGTGAGCTGTTGACTTACGGTGGTTGTTTGTAATCTTGTGTTCAAACAATACATTTCCATAATTTATAGAATTTCCATTCTCCTTTTCATTCTACTTTATATGTGCATGTGGGTCTCTCTCTCTTACCTGGGGAGTATATACATAGGGTTGCTGGTCCAGCTGTGTCCACCTGACCTGTCGTCTGAGCCACTGCTGAGCCGTTCACTGGATGGTGCCCTTGTGGCGTCCGAGTCCCCTGTGATGGTTAGTGCTGACTCAGAAACACTGGGCATCTCAACATGTGCCAGTGGGGCGAAGCTCAGCTCCACAATCTGCCGCGCACTCTGGTACATCTGACCCTTCACCTGTGGGGTCAGCGTTGGGAGGTCAAACGTCAGCACAGTCTGTGTGCTGGAAGTCAGAAGGTCCAGGCTGTCCAGACTGTTGTAGGAGGTGCCTTTGGCTCGGTGAGACTCCATGATGCTCTCAAAATGACGACTGAAGGTGTCCAGGTTGTCACCTGAGTGACGGCGCGGACCTCGCACCAGAACAGGCGACTTCAGGGCAGGGTGAAACTTATAGAAACTGTCAACGGGTCTGGAAAACAAGGAAGGTGGAAACATGGAAAAATTGCTTTCAATTACAAACTCAATCTGGTTCAACACAGTCAGGTCTATAAAAGGGGAATTGCACTGATTTTTCTCAACTTCAGTAGAATTTGCTCTAGGACTACAAGATTAATCATACTTTTATCATTAATTCTATCTATATGCACATCCACTATGTTCACAAAAAGACTGCAATGACAGCATGGATCAAATACCATTACACGTAATTTACACGTACAGTGCAATTTATAAACAAGCATACTGGCAGGGAGGCAGCATTAAGAGCCACGTCCACTATTAAACTCCAAGTATACTTGTCTTAGGCAGAACTCTGCTCCATTCCATCTTTAACCATTAGCCTACAACAAGACTTCAAACATCATGACTATTCTTCCTTCCTAGTGTTATGTGTGAAACATGTGTAGCAGTAATGCTGCTGTCACAACAACATTACCTCAAACTTGTACTACCTCATTACCTCAAACTTGCACTACCTCAAACATGCAAGGACCTTTTTTAATGAGTTAAAATATATTGTATTGTTTTTCTTGACCAAGAAAAAGACAGTAAGCAAACCTAAATATGACATTTTCTCCAAATTTTTGTGAACAATTTCTGTACATATTACATATATTGCACCAGGGCCTTTGTATATGTCATATTTTCAGATTTAATAGAATAGATTAAAATAGATTATAATAGATTCAATTTTCCCCCAATACATTATATACTTGTATCTTGCATTCAGCAACAAAACAGTAATTTGTGCACTAAAATGTGCTCCCTTTAGAGAATGTGTTAACTTATTTTCACTGATAAAATCAATAAAAACATGTAATTTGACCAGGGCACCCACATTTTTTCATACAATTGTATATAATAATCAATTTTTGTAGGCCTGTATAGAAAAATCTCTACAAAGAATGCTGACCTTTTTCTAACAGCCTTAAAGTGCACAAACATAACGCGTTTGCAATTCTAATGTAAGTAGTTATTACAATTTCATTATTTTTATCAATGAATGATGCTTTTTTCTTTGCCGTTTGCTTAAATGGAAAGTTAGTTTGATTTCTGATGAATAACACAGTAACCAAAAAAGTCGCAGTTGCAAACCCAATCAGTGACACACTAATTTAATTATAGTTTATCACTCATTTCATCATTGCAACATCCAAGAACCTTATCAAACATCAAATTTTATGTCCATGTAATGCAGCCCTAATTTGCTTACTGGGAAGCAAACAAAATCATGCAGATTTTGCATGCAGTTTTAAAGAAAAATAGTCCATTCCAGATTTTATTACAATGTTAGTGACAGGATTCAGCGCAAAGATATCCATTTTGGCTGTTGTCCAAACAAACAATGAAGCTGTACACATCTCTTCATATGTGTTAATGTAACATTCCTAACACTAAAATGATGGTAAATCAAAAAAAAAAAAAATGTTTTCTTTGAATATTACATTTGCAATACAATTCCCTGCAGCTCCTCTAATGGACAGTAGTAGCTTCAATTTTCAAGTGCCAATTTGTTGACTTGGTGCAGCAAAGCCCCACCTATCCTACCGGGTGGAGAGGTTCATGCATTGCATTGTAAGAGTTTTGCAGATTTACCACCATTTTAGTTTTATCAACATTACATATGAAAACACAAATAGCTTGACTGGCTGACTGGATAACAAACAAACTGGGTGATGAAAATCTTTGTGATGTAAATGTTTTGACACTTGATTCCTCTCACTAAAGAAATGGTGATAAATTTCTCTAGCATGGACCATTTTTCATAAAAACACTATGTTGGAATTTTAAAAATTGGGATGAAAAGTTCAATTCTGTCTGTGTGCGTACTTCAATGATACCTTTTGAGCAACATGCTAAGGATCTCCTCCTCTTCTTGCTCCTGACTGGACAGCTGCCTCCTCAAGTCTCCTTGTGTCCGTACACTGGCCCAGCTGGCTACATCTTCTTCCTCTTCCTCCTCCAGCTCCTCTTCCTCCTTGGCCCCGTCCTCCTCCTCCTCTCCATCTGTCCGCTCGTATGGTGTTCCGCCCAGTGGACTGCTGCCGGTACCAGAGGTGCCCATAACGCTGCGGTTGCTGCCGAATGCTGAGTCAGAATCATCCTTGTCCGCCAGCAGCACCTCGTCAATGTCCGTCTCCCGGTAGCACCGTAACGGAACAGCATCCAGATCCGTTTCTGAGTACTTCAGGGTCCGGCGAATTATACCTGTTTTGGGGGAGGTGCCTGGAGCAGCAGGGGGTGGGGTTACAAGCTCCACCTCCACATGGTGCACATCATGATTGGCTCGGAGAGCAAGCTCCTCTAACGGTAGGGAATTTGGTGGGGTTGGGGTGGAATGACCACTGGGAGGCGCTGTAGTTGGGTCTAGGACATCTAAGTTAAAGAATGAAGCAAATAAATCAAGAGTTTGACATTTTTCTTGGACAAAAGAAATAAGGAAGGAAAGGCAATGTGTAACTCAAGACTCTTTACACTGGAATTGTGTGCTTTCTGTACAGCTTAAGTATCCCAGTGGTTAGCTGAATTATGAAAACGCTGCAGTAACGATGGAAAATGCCTTATTTTTCATGTGGAAAGCACATGAACATGGCTTCGGAAATCACTTGTAGTCTGAAGTTTCTCCAGCAGGGAGCGCTATTAGCATGCAAGTTGCTGCAAACTTGCAGCAGAAGAAGGGAGATTGGGGTGTATGATACTATCAATCATCAACATTTTATGAACTTGAAAATTTTGTGCTATTTATTTTTAGATACCACCCAGGCCTCATGGCTACTCGATGTACATACTGCCATCTCAAGAAAGACGCTCTATGGGTAAAACATGCAACTGTTTGCAAGTAGAAAACGTCCAAAAAGTTAAACATAGTTTTTAATCATTTTTAATTTTAGCAAGCGGAGTGCCTAAAACCCCCTTTTCCATAATAAAATCATGGTAACGCACTGCCTCGAGTGGCTTATTGCTTTTATAAAACAGTGGACAACATAAAATATGATAAAATACACAATTTATCAGTAAATAATTCAGGTTATTATTAATAATAATCAACATAAACAAGTATTCTGCCAAGAAATGCAATTCATTTAGAACACAATATTGTTGCCAAGGAACCACGGACTGCTGAATAAGTAGAACATTCAGGCACCTGTCACTGTATATTGCAGTCATTTCAGGAATGTTTAATGCGCTGATAAAGCACTGTTTAATGCAAAACCTTCACTTTATATGTAATTTTTGGTCACCAAATTATCGAAGGTCTTATTTAGCACCAAGCTAATACTAACTCTCTCCATGCTGGGTTAAATCTCAAATGACTCCCTGCTCCCTACAGTGCACTAGTTAGGAATTTAAATATGTAGAGAGCAGGGAGTCATTTGAGATTTAGCCCAGCATGGAAAGAGTTAGCGTTAACTTGATGCTCCTGCGCTCCAACAGTGCATAATATAGCTAACAAACAGCCATTTGGGATTTAGCCACATCCATACCCGACAAATAGAGCACTATTCTGGCTGAAGAAGCAAGAATTTCATTACTTATATTGCACACTATTTAGGGAGTATAGAGCCGTTTGAGATTCAGCCTGAGCTTGAGGCAGATCTGACTAAAACACAGACATCTGAAAAGTGTAAACTATTGAAGTGACATTTTTTAGACTTTTATGTTGCTGTTTTATGTTAAATTCTATTATGAGTTCTTTAATTCAATCCTGTGATATTAAAGATGGAGTTGTTTGCATGTTTGCTATCCTATTAGCTAGCTGACCAGCCTAGTTGTGGTTAAGAAAATAAATTGTCAGTCTCTCTGTTTAAACAAAGCAGGTTCTTACTTCATCAGTTCACTCAGTGGTCCATGCGAGCAGCATTATAGTCAAAGATTATTCCATTAACAGCATAAGGATTTTTTTCATGAGGTGACACAGAAATACAGAGTTCAGTTGTTGTAAGGCAGTCACTACTGCATAAAATAAAGTTTTGTTTTAATGTTTGGGGTCAACCACTTGAGGTAGGAGAATACATATCAACTTGATTTGGGCCACAAAAAAATACAGTAAATGCTTTTTTGAGGGCATTCATTTTTAAGAAAAAACAAGAAAACTCCTTTTTCACAGGATATGATAGAATATTACTGACAGGACTATTTGCACAGGTTAACACTTTGTTGTATATTAGGTAAAAGGTGGCACAATGTTTACCGAGGTGGGATCACGCAGCCTGTAAAAAACCTCTAGCATTGTAGATTTAGATGGGACCAATATCACTAAGAAACACTGGTAATAACTAATCCAGGTTATACTGTGTAGCTGATTATATCTAATCAACTATACATTAACATGTACTGATTCACAAACAAACCCAAAGGGAAATATACAGTGTGATAGACAAAAACAACAGACAGATCACTCACTCTTCTCTCGTTCCTTTGTTGTGGTCTCTGTTGTGGTGCCGAACAGGAACTCCCACTTAGCTCTAGCAATCTTCTGACAGTGCAGAGATGGTCCCATTACCAGAGGACCACCGTCAGACTACAACACAAAGTCACACTCATGTTTACACATTCTGCTGTTTTCTAATCATGAAATCTCTCTTCTTCACAGCCATTTTAACACATTTAGCTCTCTATCACCTCCTTCCTCTGTCTCCCACACAGATTTGTTAACATTCTTCTCTGTTGCTTTCTAGCCCTCCCGCTCACTCAAACACATGGTACATCATTACAGGTACTAAAACACAAATTAACAGTTTACTTATTCACAAGAGGTGTAAAACGGCATCATGGTGCATCAACCTCCAACCATGCTAATTTTGGTATGTTAGAATTGAACAGAATGTTTTTAAAAAATATTACTTCTTCATTGTTTTTTATTTGCTTTTATTTGTTATTTTATCAGACCTACTTAAAAAGTTACTTCTTGTGGTAACAAGCAACTGAACTATTTATATTCAAGTTAAAAAACTACACTGATTGAAAGAATTGTTCATTTAAATTCAGTTGTTCATTTTCTCTCTCTCTCTCTCTCTCTCTCTCTCTACACACACACATATACACATATACACATATATACATATACACACACACACACACACACACACACATATATATATGTGTGTGTGTGTGTGTGTGTGTGTGTGTATAGATAGATACACATACATACACACACTATCCTGATTGGGTATACAAGGAGAATTCATAAAAGGCTCAGTCGCCTCTCTCTGAAAAACTGTATACAGTCCAGCAGTTCAAAAACAACGTTTCTCAAAGCACAATTTCAAGAATTTTAGGGATTTCACTAGAGATGGAAGGATTGATTGGCTATGTGTCGGATTTGGCCAATATTTCACCAACTTAGCAAATCCTGAGAGCTGAACAGTGACGTAAATCATGAGCCATATTTTGCCCTGCGTGAGGCCTCTTAGTCACAGGACAACGCAGTTCCTCGTTCAAATGCTAGAAGGAAATACAGAGCTTTTGACTTTGGACTACAGGACTAAAGAGAGGCTGCTCTATTTTCTGGGCTGTACAGATGCATTAAAATCAGGCTGAAAAATCAGAGCTCCACTGTCATGGTTGCAACTCAAACAAACATGTCAGGAAAGTGGTAGAACTGTTGCTTGTAGCAGAGCACAAAAGCTTATGACAAGCAACACGCTGACTGAAAAATGTGGAGGTTAAAAACAATATATGGCAGACAAGAGCTGAAAGGCTATGAATGACGGTGAGTACGTTACAGTGACTGTATTCAGCTAGCTCTTGTAGGAGGTGGTGGAACTCCCTGTGTTGTTGTCTTGTTTGTAGAGTGGGATGTACCCAGTGTATGCACCGTTTAGTTGCAGTGCTTCCAAGAAAAAAAGTTTTCAGAGTATTTAGACTGAAAAGCGCTTCAGACTTGATGTGAAGGTCCCACTAATTTAAACTGGCATCTGTTTTTTCGTCCAATCAACCAATTGTGCTGAAAGGTGACTGCCAATCAGTATCCACGCTAAAAACACTGGTCAGTCCATCTCTAGATTTCTCCATCTACGGTCAATAATATTATTAAAAAATTCAGAGAAACCAGAGAAAGCTCTGCGCGTAAAGGGCAACGACCTCAGATGATGCTACATTAAAAACAGGCATGCTTCTGTAAAGAATATAACCGCATGGGCTTGTCAGTAAACATGTCATCAATGTTTGTCACTGCATCGACACTAACCAAGAGATGCAAAATTGGGACACCAAACATCTTGGCGGATAGACAACATCTGTGTTGAGTAGATAGTTGTGGATATTAGATTTTTCCCCAAACTATTCCTTTAGAAGCATTCCAAATTAAATAATAAAATATCAATACTTTGGCCTCTATGTATGGATACTATCTTTAAACCCAAAATATTGCAATATTATTCTGTGTTGATGTTTTCTCCCGCTTCTATTTAACAACACTCAAAAGTAATCATGGTAATGTCTCACCTGTATCCCTGAGCTGGCATGTTCAGTCTGGTTGCTGTTGCTGCTGGACTCCGGCGATAGACATTCTCTGTCCCCGAGACTACCTGTGACCCCACTGGAGCTGGGAGATGAGCCTGGCACTCCGTTCTGCTCTCCTTCACCCCTCTCTTCATGCTCCCCCTCCAGAACCACAGGGCCTAGAAGCAGAGCCTGCCTGCGTGTCCACTCTGTCTGCCTCTCCTGCTGGATTAAAGCAGCTCTTTGCCCTCTCTCCTCTCTGCTCACTACACTCTGAACATTATAGCCCTCATCTCCTCTCACCATTACACTCTCCATCTGTTCTTGCTGCACAATTCCTTCTATCTCATTCTCTTGTTTCTCTCCTGGTCTAAACATCTCCATTTCTTTCTCCTCCTGATCCCGCCACGTCTGCATGGAGGTCCAGCTGATCGGTGCCTCCTCAATCCGCTGACCAATAAGTAGCCTCCTGGAAATCTCCACACTGTCAGATGGGGTATGGTCAACTCTGACTTCGCTGCACCTCTCTGGGTACAGGTCCCAGGCCTCCTCGTGGGACCAACCGATGTACTGTGGCACCCTCCGGCGGTGCAACGTGGGGCTTTCTGTGCTTGTGATGTCACTCCTATGCAAGCGAGGGTCCCGTAAGGGGGAGCCCACGTCCATTTTGGACAGCCACGGATGCATAATTCGGGATGGGATAGCTGGGGATTCAGGGGCTCCTCCTATTGGGATCGGACTATGGGAGTGATTGGCCAGTTCGCATCTTGCTTCCGCGCTCTGATTGGTTGAGGACTCTGTCATCTGTGCGCAAGGAGGAGCCCCATTTGTTATTGGGCTTTCGGAATGTGGTCCATGCACAGGGATGTTCATTTTCATAACTGGGCTCTGATGATGTAAGGGGCCATAGAGGGGCTGTCCCCCAAAAACATTATGGGAAGGGGACTTCCTGACCTCGTCGAAAATGACAGACACTTTGGTGGCTTCTTCTGCCAGCCTGCGTGCTACTTCTGGACTGTTCAGCGCCGAGGATGTATTGCTGCCACTAAGCTGGTTTAGACCTTCAGCATGGGTGTTAGTGATCACCAAACTGCCCTTTTGACCTGAGAGAGGACCGCCATTCTTCTGGGTGGGGCTGGACGGGACTTGCTGGGTTTGCTGGTGTTCATTAGGGCCTTTTTGAAGCCTGGGGCTTGAGTTTTGGTCTAAGGGGATGTTGGCGTGTCCCGTGTGGGATGAAAGGCGGTTTGAGGCAGGGCTCCTGGACAGGCCATATGAAACCCCCATCCTGTCTGCATTATTGTTTGTATGAGTGCTAGAGTCAGGTACAGGCGTCCCTGACCATGACTGACATCGTGCTTGCTGGTTGTGTCGGACACCAGGGCTCCAGTCAGACCCGCGGGCAAACTTTGACCTCAGCTGGGGTGACCCAAAGTCCTCCAGGGCCCGCTGGGTTGCGGCTCGTCCCACTGAGTCAACGTTGGCCCGGTTTAGAGCTGGTGAGCCAGCCTGCTGGTAAAGTGGACTGTTATTGCTGCAGGTGCTTGGGGACCAGGCCGGGTCACTGAACCTTTTATGAGGCTGATCGCCTTCCTCTCTTAGTATGTCATGTGGACTCTCCACTTTCTTGATATTAGCCTTCTCAATGTAGCTAAAGGTGACCACAGACGTGTGGCCGACCTCAGATGTCCGAGAGGAACCATAAGGACGACGGCAGCCTCTGCAGGGCGTCCCTGAGCCGGACCCTGGCACTGAAGCTGAGGGAGAAGAAGAATGGAAGTGTTTCACATGCTTACTGGCCATACTGTGACTCAGAGCAGCACACACATGCTGGCTCAGGTCTTCTGGAGGTGCAGAGGTTTGTGGGGAAAAGTCGGGGTGGTGTGCAGGCTGTAGCTGGAAGCTGACAGAGGCTTTAGGTGGAGGGGTGGAGGTGGAACAGTTCTCCATGGCGATGGGTGGAGATCTGAGGTGCTAGTTGTGCTAGTTCAGTTATAGCTTCGACAAGTGCTGCTCATTTGTATGCTCTATCTCCAGGACTGCATTTCCCATCATGCCCTGGTGCAGATCACACCTCCACAATGAAAGACTTCTAAAGATTGTGGCATCTCTTTCATGCCATTGTAAGAGACAGTGAGAGGCAGAAAATTGTCTTTCTTCTTCTACATGTCAGAGTTGTCTGGCTGCTTGTGTTTATTTTTAGTTCAAACCCATGTCCTTCACAGAGAGAGAGATAGAGAGAGAGAGAGAGAGAGAGAGAGAGAGAGGGAGTGAGAGAGAGAGAGACAGAGAGAGAGAAAGAGAGAACACACAATGTCAATGCTTTTGAAAATACACTGTGCATGCTAAAGCAGGCTAAATGTGAAGTACATCAAAATCACTAATCCAGTTAAAAACAGCAAAGTGGCTGGGGGCTTTAATGCCTCTGTACAGTCATGGGACATCAATACAATTGGAATAATAGACGTCAGAAAAGTCAGTTAACTGCAGAGAAAGAGGAGAAGATGCACTTTTAAGCCCTCTTTCTCTCAGCAATTCCTGTGGAATAAAGCAATTCCTAATGAACAGAAGGAAATCATCATATACAACACAACTGTCCTCAGATTTCACTCGCAGAATAAATAACAGCAATCATGGTTTGTTATACAATATTCCACTGTGAACTGAGAATTTGGCCTTGAAAAGCTGTATCCGAACATTTGACAGTACATCCCATGCTCTAATGAGGCAAAGTAAGTTGAACATCAGAAGCAAGAGGCTTATTTACCATAGCTAACCAAGAAACTAATCCTTCAAATCCGCTGCCCCCCCCGACACATGCACGTGGATTTACGTCACTGTGTATTAAACCTTAGTGACTCATACAGCGGACCTGAATCACACTTATGTTAGTGTACTGTGTAAATGACACTGCAACATATTTGCCAAGGGAGCTTTCTATGGAGGTTAGGAGCAGGAGACTGTGTATATGTGCATGCACGCATGACACCTCATGTATCTGGACTACACAACTCACAAACTTGAGATGTACAATCAGGTCTGTACTGATTTCAGCAACAGATAGGAAAACCTCAAGGCTATTCTTCATCTCATAAGCAGGGGGCACAAATGGACCACAGAGCCAGAGTTGGTTAGCTGAATCTATTTGGTCCACCAAACAACAGACATGCAACTGATTCAGCTAAGCAAGAAATATGTCATAAATCAAGGGTTTAAACGGTGGAATCATTCTACCAGGAAAAAAAACGGACAAACTGGACCCTCAAAGATCCACAGCGTCATATGTGTTAGAGTGACAGAACATACAGAACTTCACTCTAACTTGGAACTTACCTCTAACACCACTGTAACAATACATCACTTTCTATACACTGCAAAATAAGACACTCATCATTAATGCACTCATGCTTCCTCAAATGAGAAACGTTCTGGTCAAGATAAAGGCATGTATTTTAAGCCTATAGTGCATTGGCTTAAGTGTTATATATATTCTTAAATATCCACATGTAACATCTGGACAAGCTATACCACCCAATCTGATCTGTTCATTTTGTATTCACTTTTTATGGGTACATATAAAGCAAATAATTCCATGCAACCAGGCCTCAGCTCTTTTTTTCCCTTCAATTTTTTGTCCTGTTTTAGTTATAGCCAGCCACTTGCTAGCTCAGTCTCCCCCGATCACACTTTGCTACCAAGCTGGAAAGGTATAGGCTAGCATGTGCATCCTCTGAGTCACATGAAACTCTACCACATCTTTTCAAACTGCTGCTAATGCAACATCATTGGACAACTTAACATGCTTGGAGAACAACTGACTGCCAGTGTTGTTACAGCAGCTAAACAAGCGCCTGCATTGGCTTGCACCACACTGTGTGATGGGGGAGTGGAAGGACCATCTTATCAACACAGAGAGAGACAGACCAATTAGGCTCTCTTGGTCTCCCAGCCACGGACATCACCAGGCAGTGGGTCCAGTAGATGATTGTGCCATTTGGAAGCCCATCAGGCCTCTCAATGTATGGATGCCCGTTTCTGCCTCTTGGAAAAAAAAAGCTGTATAGAATGTTATAATAATGGGAAAATTTCTCATAACTATGACTTAGAATTTCATAATAATGAGAACGTTTCTCATAATTATGACTTAAGACCTCATAATAATAACCTACTGTCTTATAAAAAATGGGAATAATACAATTCTCATAATTATGCAATGCTAAGTCATTATTTTGAGATGTTACATCATAATGATATTAAGTTATTCTTATGAGATAGTAAATCATAATTATGAGATACTTATTCACAACTATGATATATGAAGTTGTAGACTTAACTACGAGACAACATTTCATTATAATGAGAGCATAATCACTGAGTCTCATTTTTGAGACAGTGTCATACTTACAGATAAGTCATACTGTATCTCATTATTATGAGAGTGTTTTATAACTATGACTTGCAACGTCATTATTATGGGAAACTTGCTCATTAGTATGACTTAATGGCTTTATTTTTTCAGTGATGGATACAGGCTTCCATTACACAGGCAGGCCTCAGTTCTTAGTGAAATCAAAAATTAAATTTACCTCCTACCCAAAAAAACAATAACTCTCCATGCACAGCTAATAAAAGAGGAGAGACTCTCTGTACACTCTACTCGTGCTTTCTTCCCCAAATTAGGCTAACGCAGGCCCCTCTCTCTCTGAGCCTGCTCTTGCATATCCTGATCAGAGGGAGCCAAGTAAGGTGCATGCACACCTGCACATCCCCACACACCGCTCCAGTGCCACCTGTCAGTGGCTGCCCTAGTTGCTGTCAGACTGCAGAGTGTAAAGTGAATAATAGACTGAAACAGTTTAACAGTCAGTGGACAGCCTCTTACAGATGACATGAAAAGTGTTCTGCAACACCGGTAAACTTTCTCAGCATGATTTCTCATGAATCTCAAATGACAACAGCATGAAGCCATCATGAACAAATCAAACACTGATTACTCCAGCAGGTGACTCACGCTGTACTTCTGCTTTAAAACAGTGTATTAGTATTCAATTAGCGTGTGGAAACTGCCAGGCTTCAGTAATAAAAACTATTTACGGTGTATTATTTAAAAGTATAAAGTGTGATCCCTTGAAGGAGCTTCACTTTCAGGTCACAGGGAGGATAGACTGCCCCCCCCCCACACACACACACCTGGTTTAAAGGTCATAGAGTGAGCTGATTGATACATCCAGTCAGTGTTTCTGTCACACTTCATATCAGCGACTCCCAGCTGCCTATGTTCCCTGTGTCTAATGAAACTAACGTCACACAGCACGTTGCTAATATTAGCTCTGTGGCCACTGAATGGAGCCAGAAGTGAATTCTAAGCCTGCTGCTTTACTGTATGCTAGCTGGCTAGCTGACTACAGTGGCTCGGATTTCAGCAGCATAGAAAGAGGGTGTCATGCAAGTTGACTCTTTGATATTAAGATGATTCTTGGAAGTGATTTTCTTTCAAGTCATGTAAATAAGGTTGGTCTCTAGCCTGGATTCCTAGTCCTTTTCTAACTGTCTCTCTTCCCAACACAAACTCCCACAGCAGCAAAGCAATATGGCCACACTGAAGACAGAAGATCAGTTACAGAAATATCCATCACGAGACAACCTACAGTACTGTAAAAATCAGAGACCACCTATACACCAATCAGGCATAACATTACGACCACCTCCTTGTTTCTGCACTCATTGTCCATTTCATCAGCTCTACTTACTATATAGGTGCACTTTGTAGTTCTACAATTACAGACTGTAATCCTGTGTATTTATTCAATTTTCAGTCAAAAATGGCACTTATGTTGTTCATTTTTCAGGTGATATTTCTGAAGAAGATTAGATATAAGATAATCTACCTGCATAAGAAAAGGGAATGACAAAACTTAATTTAACAAAAGCATTAAAAGATACAGATAAACAACTTCTAAGACTGAACTTTGGAGGAGTGAAAAAACATCCCTGCAGATTTCTTTCGTAAGTGAAAGCAGCCCTCAAGAAACAGAATAGAAGCTGTGATAAATTTAATGGGTCAATGACTGGACACACACACACACACACACACATATATTTTCTAATCCTTCTGGGTCGTGGGGGAGCTGGAGCCTATCCCAGCGGTCACTGGTCGGAGGCAGGAAATACCTTGGACAGGTCGCCAGTCCATCACAGGGCATATAGACTAGACAGACATATACATTCACACATTCACACACCTAGGGGCAATTTAGTGTGTCCTGACTGCATGTCTTTGGACTATGGGAGGAAATGAATGGACACATACTTGTTGAGACTTCTGTGTAATTTTTCTGTAAAATATATGTTTCTGCATTTTCCCCCCAATTATGACTCTTAATGTCTGTTTTGGA